TCCTTATATGCCTCCCATAGCTATCCTTATATGCCTCCCATAGCTATCCTTATATGCCTCCCATAGCTATCCTTATATGCCTCCCATAGCTATCCATAACTTAAAATTTACTTTGGGAATTTATTCTCAAGTGCCTGCTGGATCTCTGCCATTACAGGCATGTAATCCAGTATGAATTTCAGTAAATCAGTGTTTCCCAACCCAGTTCTTGGGGACCCCCAGACAGTCCATGTTTTTGCTTCTTCCCAGCTTTTGGTAGGGAGCAAAAACATGGACTGCCTGGCAGGGAGCTGAGAGGGAGCAAAAAGCGTGGACTGGCTGGAGGTCCTCAAGGACCGGGTTGGGAAATACTGGAGTAAATTAAAATGACAGGAAGAATCACCCTTCCAGGATTTGCAGAGCAGATAAACCGCCCAGTAGTGACCACTTGGAAGGAAGCCATCAGTCCATTTCCAGGTCTCTGGTGATTGAAAGCAGACATGGAGCCTGGTTTTCATGCCTGACACAAAGTCAAGCACCCATACAGTCACATGCACGATGACCATGTGACCTGTCTGCGGAAAGCTCGCCAGCCAAGCCATTAATGCTGCAGCGCAGTCGCTTTCTACACCTATTACAGTGTCTTTGTCACAGGGTGTAAAAGCCTGACGTCTCCCAGCCACCTTGAAGGCATTCGCGAGACGCACAAGTAAGGCAGCTGTGCAGATGTGCTCCATGCTCCCCTCTAGCTGAGGGACTGACTCCTTCAGTGCAGTGAGAGACAGCTGGCCAGCAGCGGTAACCAGTTGAACAATGTTTGGGCCACAGAGCTCTTGAAGGGTCTGGTGAAGAACTCCACTGCAGCCGTCATTCCTCCACACACAGGGCACTGACCTGGGTTAAGAATCCCAGTCCAGCAGTGCTGACTGGGAAAAATGCTGTGGACAGCCCACTTGAGCCAAACACTGGGGGCCGTCCAGATGGGAGGAAGTCAGATACTCCATTCCGCTGATAACATCCTTCCTTATTTGAATGAAGTCGCAATAAATGCACAAAACATTTCCTTTCCGGTCTGGCTGGATTTAAACACACACTGCAGGTATGCAGTGCAGCTCCTCGTTATGACTTTGAACTTAAGAGACTGATCTATAATAAGTTATAGCGGAGTGTGTAAACAAATAAATGCTAAAAAATCTGACTCAAGTTAGTCCACCAGGGCCAGTCTGTGGAACCAAGGCATTCCCTCGCATGTAATGCATCTCATGAGTATTGGCGATTTTTCTGGGGGTGCAATTACACCCCCTACTGGTCAATAGAAAATGCTATTTGAACATATTAAGAACATATTAAATAAAATTAATGTTGTAATGTTATATTTGCAGCTGGTGTTACTTATACCAATGTGTAATAATTAATTGTAAATATATGAACTATTTTTTTTTTTTTTTTACAAATTTATCTATTAGGATGAATGACTGTTTGGGCTCTGTCACCTTGTACCCTCTGGGAGAAAAGTGTCGAGCTGCATTTGCTCAGAGAGTCAGAGCAGCGCACAGGAGGCAGACCAGAAAGAGAGGCCTGATGGGACGGAATGAGGCACGAGGTGAAACATGGAGGAACTGCGGACTGAGCGGAGTCACAGGAGTCAAAGACGACGGAGGAGTCAAAGGTCATGGGGTAATCAGCTTCAGAATTCACTGCCGCAGGAAGCGTTTGTGTCATTTTAAAGCAATGGAACCCTCTGACGTCGTCCTTTCCGTGCGGAGTTGTAGGGGTGGGCAGGGAGTGTCTGATCCCAGCCTGGCAGCGCCTGGCCCTCGCAGATGGACTCAGCGTCTCAGCGACTATGTCACTGCCATGATTCTACAAACCGTACCTGAGCATGATGTTTACATCCATAACCAGCCGACGCCCCGCATGGCCACGCCAACACCTTGCAGCATGCCCTGCCATTTACAAACACCGTAAAAACCGGACTGCGCCCCTTATGAGCATAATGGAACCGCCCCCCAGACCCATCCAGGCTAAGCCCAAGGTGCGAGTCACCTGTGTCACAGCGCTGTGCCTCTGAGGCAGCAATGGGGCGGGGGGTTTGAGCCGTTACCAAGGCGACTGTTACTGTGCCGCCCAAACATAGTGCTGACAGTTTCTGAACAAGAGGCACCATTTACTCACCTTAGAGAAGCTCTTCCCACCTTTCAGCTCCTGTCAAGCAAACAGAAGGAATGAGGAGTCAGACCAGACCATCAGGTCAGGCTGGAAGCCACTATAGCAGCACCCAACCTCAAATCTGATCATGAGAGTCCATGAGCTTAACCGCTACGCCACCTGCTGGGCAGGCATGTGCCACGTCTGAAGCCACACCTGCTCCCGCACCCTTGCCAAAGTTTCCACACAAGGCATAACCATCAGATGAGTTATCATTAAAGGTGTGTGGTCAGCAGTAACCAACGTCCTTTTACCAACCCCTACAGCTAAATAAACCAACAAACCAGTTAGTTGCGGGGGGGGAGGCTTGAGGTAATGGCAGCGGGTGTGAGTGTGCCCGCACCCTGCCCAAGACAATGGCCAGCGGCATAATGGGAACAAAAGATTGACAAATTAACCTCTGTTTAGCGGTCCACTGTCACAACACATGAATGTACCCACTCAGCACATATTATCCAGTAATTACGGTTACAGTTGTCATTAGAGTTTATTAAATTCACTTTCATCCATAGTTAATATATATATGATATATTTAAAACATTAATTTCTTCAGTTAGAAAACCCAATAGAAATAGCAGCATAGGGATAAGGCATGTAGTTAAAAATCTGAATAACCCCTAAAGCGATAAACCCAGATACCACAGACCAAACTGCCTTCTCACCTCCATCCTGCACCCCCCACCCCCCCATCTCCGCTCCCTCAGATGAGTCAGTCAGGCCCCCCAACTTCCATGGAAGCACACCAATGACCCCCAGCCCATGCTGTGACATTACTGCATCTCACGCAGGGTCAGCAGCACCTTGCAAGAGCCCCCCCATTGACACTGTGGAGCCCCCCCCCCGCGGTCCGGCCCTCGCTCACCTTGCGGACCGACACACGGCACATGCACGGATCCAGCACTCCTGTGGTGGAGCTGGCGCTCATCTTGCAGATGAAGGAGAACCTCTTCTTCCAGCGAACGGAGTTCTCCTGGACCTCCTCCCTGCAGGCGAAGAGATGGGACACAGGTCAATCTCCCCTTATATCCCCACCTCACCTAACATGACGGCTGCATCACTGTCACACATGGTCACCACAGAAATAGTCAGCACCTAATATATCCGGAAAGACGTATAATACCCAGAGTTTTACTTTTCCATAAACAGGGGAAACAGGGAATCACTGAATATGCCCATCAGAGTCAGAAGTCTCCCCGACCCCATAAATCACCCAAATTTCATTACTCTTGGTTTTAAAATCAACAGAACCTATTGCACCTATCCCATGTCATACGGTCAGGTCTCTGGAAAACAAGAAAGGTCTTTTTCCATTATGATCCCAGTTGGTAACACACAAGAACTATGGACTAGGCATTCCGAGCGCCCATGTTAGGCGTGTGCATGTGCATGCGTGTATGCCGGGCCCGTTCTAGGACGTGCATTATCTGTTCACCGCTTTGTCAGCTCAGGTGATCACCACACCTTTAAAAGTACTCCAGAAGGACAAACACACTTGGTATCAGAGCAATGTGTTTGCATTGTCGTCTTTGATGGATAAGCTCTTAGGGTAAATGTAATTAATAATTCCTAACCCACAAAAACTGACAAAATATGAAAAAGATAATGAAGTTTTGGCCTAATTCTAATTTACACCTGGACTCTAAACCCATCCCAACAAACGCTGAAAATATGATGGTTTATAAAAATCCCAAAAACTGCCCCATTTGAAGGAGCTCAATTAAAAAAAAAATAATAATAAAAGATCCTTCATATTTAGTTTCTGCTTCTCCTTAAAGGATGTGCAAGGTTTCCATGGAAATGGAGTTATGGGAGACTTTTGGCTCGGAGCCGAATGGCGAGCGCAAATATGTCTGTTGCGTAACTCCGAGGCCCTTGAGCAAAGCCAGCAGGAGCAGGTTCTCGCTAGCTTGGAGAAGCATTTCACATACATGCCGTCCAGTTCCCATTCCTGCCCGGCCACGCACCGAGCAAATGCACCAGCAGCACGAAGGACCGGCAGCAGAAAATTACAGCATTGTCCTGAATGTCCTATTTCTATCAGGCATCACGAAGGACCGGCAGCAGAAAATTACAGCATTGTCCTGAATGTCCTATTTCTATCAGGCATCACGAAGGACCGGCAGCAGAAAATTACAGCATTGTCCTGAATGTCCTATTTCTATCAGGCATCCATACATTTCAGGGCATATTCTGTGGTCTGCCCTTTCATTCCAGTGCCTGTAGACATCAGGATTTCACAGTGAGCCATATGGACTGTCAAAGCCATTATCACTGAGCTGAAACTTGCTGAGGGAAAGTGGGACAATATGTGACTTTACTCTTTATTTAATGAATGAATCTCTTCCACACAAGGTCACTAACTGAGCTGTTCAACATGTCCTCTCTGCTCTGATACTAAGTCAGACTGACACTGAACAACTCTCACAGAAGTACGTGAGCAACCCCGATCTAATTTTCACTCCTAATCCACCAGCTTACAAACACGAAGCCAAAAGCAGGTCAGGGGACAGAAGCGAGCAAGCCGCTTCAAGCCTCCGGGGTGGGGGGGGGGCAGCCATGGTTGTTTAAAGTTCAGCTCAGCTGTTATTGCAAAAGTAATCTGGGGAGTAAGTTACTGCACCAAGAGACCTGGGACTTCGGCTGCAATGTGACACTGTGTACCAGACCCATGCATGCAACAGAGGAACCATTGACCTACTTCCTTTCATTGACAACTCATCTCGACCCTGCTCTTCCCGGCTAGAAGGCGTCTGGGTAAAATCCCTACTACGGACAAAGAGCTAGAAGGCTTTCAGTTTAAACCCCAGAAGTGGCACAACCTTTGGGCAGCATAAGTACACGAGTCAGTAAACATCCAGATGACGCATACATATCTGGAACATGCCTTCCACCTATTCAACGTGCCTGACAGGTACACAAGCAGGTGTGTTAAACTCAAAAGTAATCGAGCGGAGCAGGATTAAACTCTTGGCACGGGTAATGCTGGGCAGGGTGTCCAGCTGTCTCACTGCTTCTTCACAGATGCTGGCAGGGATTATCCCAGAGCGCACGAGGGACAAGTCCGTCTGCTGTCCCCAAGTGAAGGCAAGACTAGAGGGAAGAGTTACGATTTGTGAGATCCCCAGGATTTGAACCCACAACCTTTGTTATTTGTTGAGCTACAGGAGCTAATAAGACAAGAAATTAAGCTATATTCTTCCTGAGGAACCTTACTGCCATGGGTAGCCCACTGCGGTGCTGAGACACGATCACATGACCCGATGACGTCAGGTATTCCTTACTCAATTGCAGCATGACACCATATTGGAAAAACCTCCCTCCAGAAGGGCAATATGTAGTGAAAATAAAAGTCTAGATAGTGGGTTTATTAAACAGGGAGAACCAGTTAACAGTGATCGATATAGTCATCTCTCTCCTGCTTGTTTCACATCCACACACACTATAGCTGATGTTCACCAGAAAAAAACCAGTCAGATATTCCAAATATGGTCAAGTCTGTTAGACCACCTTGATATTCTGAAAGTGATTCTGCTGCATTAATCACTTCCATCTTTTATTTTTAAGACACACGATTGTGTTTGTGTGCAGCACAGCGCCTGGCCTTGCTGGAAATGCTGGTGAGTCAGTAAGCTGGATGGATACGAGTTACATTAGTAACCCTGACGGAAAAGCCTGGCCCTTTTTCGGAGGGGGAGGGTGCGCATCTGTAGCCGATTTGGGGAGTCCGTCTGGACCTCGTTTGCCCAGCTGAGCGCTGATTCCTGGCAGCCTCAAAGCCAAAGCTAAATGGAAAGCATGTGCTGGATGAAGGTGCGTCTGCAATCTGGGTTTTCCTCCGCAGTTGGGCTCTGCACCCCAAGCTGGCTCTGCGTGTTCCACGATCCATCCATTTAGTCACGGAGAACCGGCATTCCATGGGAGCCAATCCCAAACCTATAACCTGCTGGGAATGAAACTCCAGCATCTTAGTCACTTGCTTGCAACAGCTCACACTACAGACCTCCAACCACAGGGGGGCAGAAGTCACTTTTTCAGCAGACAGATCTTGCAGCCTCCAGGCAAACCCCTTATTCACATGCTTATGCTTCCTGAATGAGCTCTAAGCTAAACATCAGAATCTATGACTTTGCTGACCACCTCAGCACATCATGGCGATACGGCAGTGCCAGAACAGGCCTTTGCAGCCTCTGCTCACCTTTGACCCTTCTGTACCAGCTGTAGGCACATTAGCAGTGACTTATGCTATAGCCCAAATGAGGGGGGGGGTAGGCTGGTGGCACAAAGCGCAGTCTAAACATGACTGAGGCATCATGTGGAGGGCAGCCTGCTCTGCACCACCCCCCCAGTAAACAATGAGGACACTGCCAGGCGTCCTCCAGTCCGAAATCAGGGTGAAACGGGACAGTTCTCTCTTTCTCTCTCTCTCTGTCACACACACAGTCACCCCCACCACTGCAAGAAGCTGGTGCTTGTGAATGGGCCCTCTGTCACCAAAGACAACATGATGACATGTGACACCAGAACAGAATGGGTACCATCTAATTGTCACTGCGTCACTGATTATATGTGGTTTAAGGTGGGGAATGTTTGTCCTTGGAGCCTGGACAGAATGAGAAAGCAGTCCTCCTGCCCCCCCCCCCCCCCGAGCACTCTGATAAGCCCATGTCGAGTGTCAACGCATGCTGTGCCCAAGAACTGAAACTGTTACAGCAGCCTCAAATGTTCACTCACAGACAGAAGATCGCAAGAGCCCATCCTGTTGAGATTATTGAAGTGGTTTTACACTAAACTGAGCTGTACAAATAGCCAATCATTACTCTCCTTTTGCGTCAGTCCCCTCTTGATTGGTAACAGCCTGGAAAATGGCACAGCCTCTTTGCCTATATCACTGACAGCCTGTTTGCTGCTCTGCTCATTCTCTACATTCCTCAACATACAGAGTATCATCCCTCATGGCTGCTGGAAGAGCACAGCTAACTAGCAAGACACGCACACGCACACACACACACACACACACACACACACACACACACACACGCACGCGTTTGCTGGGCTGCCCGTTGCCTTGGCTTAATCCTTCACCCCAAATCAACATGACAATCACAAAGTGCTACAGGGCCACCAGATAAATGGCTGACCCCGCATTTGGACACCCCCCCCCAGAGATTTGTGTGTGTGTGTGTGTGTGTGTGTGATGTCTCAAAGGATAGCATCATGGGATACACGAAAAGCCGCATTTCAATTTTCCTGTACTCCTGTGCAACTGCCAAAAAAAGGGACCATTTCATTAATGCAACCTCATATATCATCACATTTCAAATACAGATGAAAACAAAACAAAAAACAGTAACATCGTCATCACAGGGTGAGGTCCCCCTCACACACACACACACACACACACACACACACACACACACACACACACAGGAAGTCGCCACCATAACCCAAAACCTGTCCCACGAGTTGTCCTGAAAACATGGCTCTCTTACAGGTGCGGCCGGGAAGAGAGGCTACCACTGCTCACTCCCAAATGCCTCTGCCAACACTCCTCTCCAGTAAACCGCCACGTAATGCTCAACAGTGACCCCCCCTCCCTCTGCAGAGCTGGGCAGGCAGAGCAGGGCCCAGCAGCAGAGAGGGCTGGTGTCAAACAGCACAGTCTGGGGACAGGGGCAGGGACTGCAATCTGTGTAAACGGTATAAAGTGTGAGAGTGTGTTAAAATGGACAGACGGGGCAGGGAGTGTGCGCACACACACACATACACACACACACACATACACATCTGTATCCAATTTTCTTCCTGGGAAAATTAGCTGTGGGCAAAAAGAGAAGCTTTGGAAATTTCCGGAGCCAGCATCTGGTTATGAGTGAGAGAGAGAGAGAAAGAAAAAACACGAAACCCGTAAATGCAGCACCACTGGACTCTGCTGCAGGCTACCTGTCAGATCCGGACAAACATCGGTACCAAGACGGTCGCTCGC